TCCCCTGCCTTTGGAAGAAAGCTATACTTAGTGCCATCCCCAAACAACCTGGAGCGGCTGGTGTTACTGATTTTAGGATTATCAGCATTATCCCCACACCGACCAGAGTCATAAAGAAAATTATGTTCAGAAAGTTACTAGCGTGGTTTCAGAAATTTTACCTCGTTCCAGCTGAGCAGCACGGCTTCATTATCTTTCCTTCTGGGGCAGGTCCCCTGCCTTTGGAAGAAAGCTATACTTAGTGCCGTCCCCAAACAATCTGGAGCGGCTAGTGTTACTGATTTTAGGCCTATCAGCATTACTCCCACACCGGCCAAAGTCATAAAGAAAATTATGTTCAAAAAGTTACTAGCGTGATTTCAGAAATTCTACCTCGTCCCAGCTGAGCAGCACGGCTTTCTGCCTGGGGCTTCTGCTTGTACTAACTTACTTGATACTTTCTATGGTGTTTGCGGGGCTATAAGCAGAGGGAAGTCGTGGACATCATTCATCTAGACCTTTCAAAAGCCTTCGATAAAGCCTGTTATCCTAAACTCATTAAAAAACTGGAGCACTACGGAATTTGGGGTAATGCTTTGGACTGGATCAAGTCGTACCTTAGTGACAGGAGCATAACAGTGCGAGTTGGCACTAGTTACTCTACTGAGTACATCTGTACTAGCGGGGTTCCCCAAGGTAGAGTACTATCACCTTTACTGTTCTTGATTTACACCACGAAGCTACCACAGATACTCAAAACATGCAGCGATGTTCACGTACAAGTATACGCAGATGACATTAAACTTTACGCTCCGTATGACTATTCAAATAGAGCAGTTGTACAAAAAGCACTGGAGTTGTCAGTTGAGAAAATGCGAATATGGGCATTCAACTGGGATATTCCCTTAAATCTGAGCAAATGCTTGGTGATGCATTTCGGAAACTCTGCAGCTAATGTCTACGTTGTAAATGGAATAGGCCTACCAATTTGTGACTCAACTAAAGACCTTGGAATTAGTTTTGATACCATACTCAAGTTTTCTGAGCAAATCGATGAGGGTGTAAAAGAAGGCATTTGCCGCGAAGCTCGCGTTAATGAGGAATATCAGATGCTCGGATCCGACACTTCTTCTTCGTCTTTATAAAACTTATGTCTTACCCTATGTAGAATAATGCTCGCAGATTTGGAGCCCATCTCACAAAAAAGATATTTTCAAGATAGAACGAGTCCAACAAGTGTTCACGCCTGTACTTTGGTATAGGTCTACACCTTGGGTAAGTCGGCTCCGTCCACCCTCATACGGTGCACGCCTCGAACGCTTTTCTCTCAAGTCCTTGCAGTACAGACGGGTAGCGGCTGACCTTGTGTTCTGCTTCAGGGTACGTCGAAAACAAGTGAAGCTGTGTGCTCGTAAGTACTGGTGTTTCAAACCCAGAAGTGAAAGGTTGGGTGGGTCCAACCTCCACTATGCCAAAATTCATCCCAGATAGTACACTTTGATGTTCAACACTTTTTTCTATGGTTGCGCGAGATGGCTCGAACTGCTTCCATCTGGGGTGCTTCAGGCGCCCAGCAGCAAAATATTCAGAAATAGGCTCAGCATATCGATTTATTGCGAACACTGCGTATTCCAGAGTATCTCTAACATTCTCTTGCTATTTTTCAGGCAATAACTGCATTGGTGCTCACCCTACAGGTTATCGCCATTCGAACTTGCGACGAGCATTTCATATTATTGAGTCATATGAATGAATTTCATAATTTTTGAGAACCTCACGGTTTTCTGAATTCTATACAATGATTCTTCTTTTCTATTCACAGGCATCCACAGGCAATCTGCCCATACCCCTTCTCTCCTTTCCTCCTTACTCGAGAATCTTCCAGGGCTTTAATGTCTACTCTGCGTTACTTTCCTTGTATGTGCGATTATATCAAGTTCATACTTGTTACCTGCTTGCTAGTTCCACTTCCAATTAATCCTCCCTCATTTTATCGCCTCCTACTTGTTCTCGAAGTAGGTGGGATGCGATGCAGAGGGCATATTTTACTTCGTAGAGCTGTGGGCTTTAGTTGTGGGTTCTAGTTGTTTCAGAATCCTTCGGTTTGATAATCCTTCGGTTTGATCCTCGTTTGAGGTCCCCTTGGTCTTCTCGCCGGGGCTTCCGGACGAATTCGTTCGTAACGGACTAAGCTGTCAGCGAGCCTCGGTTCTTCTGTCGCTTTGCGTTCAGGACCAAGGACCAGGACCTTGCGTGGGAACCCCTCATCTGCTTGGCAGGGGAAAGCAACCTTATCGTTCTCACGATGAAATGCCCTAGCTCATCTCTCACTTCCACTGATTTCTGGGCATGCTAATCTCTCTGCTAATCTCATCGCTACTCTAGTTCTAACCTCTTTACCTTTTTTACCATTTTATCTTGTTTGTTGTTATGCGTTTCTCTTTTGCCTTGCTTTAGGCTAATTTTCATAATTTTCTAGCTTCTACTTTACCTTTGTCTATGTAATTGATGGGCACACCCTGGAGGTGTATTTAAACAAATAAATAAATATCCTATTACATATCATTCGCTATCTGTGTTGTGTCGGTGTGTATGTGTATGTATATGTGTATGTGTGTATGTGTGTGTATGTGTGTGTGTTTGTGTGTGTGGATGTGGGTGTGTGTATGTTGGCGTGTCGGTTTATCCGTGTGTTGATGAGCGGGTGTTTAAGCCGGTGTTTGTGTTTTGCCGGAAATCAAATATATGTCCCACAGGACCTAAAAACCTTTGGAGGAAAGGGATATGGGGGGGGGGGGGGGNGGGTGGGAACACTGATGATAGTCATTGGTTGTATGTTTTTGTACTTTTTCACACAAAGTAGAAAAGCATGGGGTAAGCCGGGCGATCCGACAATCAGACTGTAGTCCGAATAGCGTTTCTCAAATTTTGTGAGACAAGTAGCTGTCACTGGACGATGCCTATCAGTCAACAATTAATCACCTCGAAATTTTCCATTTTCTCTGCGCAAAAATCTTCTGAACGGCAAGAGCAGGCCATTCTTGTCACCTCTGTGACCCCCATAACGGTTTCCATTATTGCGCAGCCCAGTTCTTCTTCTCGAATCTAAATCGATCCACATAGCGAACCGTGACCTTTTTATACCTTCAATACTCTGAGTTAGATCGTAGAATAGCTTCGCTCTAGGAGAAAGTAAAGAAAATTAGTTGTCGACGATCATGTCAGTAACCTTGTTCCAGATTACTTACCTTGAGCCTACCACTGAAATGAAAATCTTTTATTTCACAACTGTTCCGCAGAAAGTCGACAATGAGTTCACAGATTTCGTACTCCTAGAAAATTGTGTAACTAATTAGTTATTATTTGTTCCAATTGTGTTCACATGGTAGCTCGTTTTTGGGTGTGTAATGATGTCATGACTTTAGGCTTTGGGTCTCATCAATATTGGATTACAATCAGCTCTAATCATCCCGATATACTTATCGCTAAAATTTTCGCTCGGTGTTCCTACTCCCTCTGCATCGCGGTGGAGTTTTTTAAAGGACTAATCATGACGGGTGTACTTCAGAGATGATTACTGTGGCTGCGATATGCGAAGTGTGTCTGTGTCTTAGGCCGCCGGGTCCGGGAACTTCTCCCCTAAGACGGCGCCGCACACGCCGCACCCGCCGCCTATCGCAGGATTTCGATGGAAGATTGGAGCGAGCAACTTGTGAGGTGGGGAGTCCTTTAATTATTTGAATTGGCTGACCGCTTTCTTCAATTTCAGTGCAGCCTTGATCGCCGCTTACATAGGAGGGGTCATTTTAATTAATCAGGTCTAATAATCATGAAAACTAAAAAGAAAAAGAAGAAAAATGATAAAATCCAATGAAAAACCAAGCCAGTCAAGGAAAAATATCGCGTCCTATCGATTGGCGGGAGGCGGGGTGAGTANGGTAATTGCAGTGACATTTGCTGCATACCGCAAGGGAGAATGCCGCGATAGGGGAGAAGTTCCGTTACCCTAGGCCGCCTCAGGGAGCAACACGTCCACGTACCCCTTCCATGCGACTTTTGTCGTCACACTCTCTTCAACCCTTAATTCAAGGCTTATGTTTCTTTGAAAACAACAAATTTTTCGTTTTCTTTGCCATGCGGTTTGCACTATACTAGACTATAACTTCCACTTTTTTTTCTGAAGCTAGATACACCTAAGCTATCGAAGTAAACAAGAATGTACTGCGGGCACAATACTTTTGTAAGACCAGCAAGATTCGACTTCCACAGAAATCGGGTCGTGTGAGATGATAGGATAGCGGTATTTCTATTCGAATTCCCACTTTAAGTGCCAGTGGTTTTAGGTAACTCCGTCATATTTCCCTGGAAGTTCAAATCCTTACATTCATAGCGCGCGATTCTGCACAATCGGACGCAACGAGAGCGTTACTCTGTTCTTGTAGAACAACCCCACTCTGAAGGATGATATCATCGGCATCACCTGTATCGTCGATTTCCACGAGCGGGCGTAGTAACTTCTCCATTCGTCCCTGTCGCGAGCCAGAGTAGTCCAGTGAATCGTTCTCGCTTCTCGCTCGAGGGACAGGGGCAGAACATTCCTTTCATTAAGAGCTTTCGTAAAGAAGTCTGACCATAGGACTGGTGGTCGTCTCGGTGTTCTTTTGACTCTCGAGGGATCCAGTCCGTGGCCGCCCTAGTCCAGCGGTCATCACTATATTGCATGACGTGCCAGGCCTATCTGTTTTTCGATTTCTTTTCGTATTCAACGGCATCCCTGATCTTCGTACGTCCACGGAGCTTGGAGTTCCGAATTCCCTTCTACACTTAATTGTATAGGGAATTTCCGAGTCCTTCCACATCACGTTGAATGTCGCTAAGTGCAAGTGCAAGACCCGCTTCCGTCGAGTCCAACTTTAGAGGCATATGTCAAAGCAAGGAGGGAACGCAGTATCGAAAAGGTAAGCGCAGAGTCGGGTGTTCTTCGTTTTTTTCACTACTCTCTCGATGTTCTTAAATGCTTCTCACGCCGCGCCTTTCCGCCTGCTCTGCTCCGGAGCTAGGTCGTTCATCATGTTGACTTCCCGACCTGGATACACATAGCTGGAGCATTCGGAGACATTGCTTCCGTTCAGCGTGGAAGGAGCATCAGGTACCAATCCGTTTCGCATGAACATCGCCTTCGTGAGGTCCAGTCGTAATCCGATCTTTCCAGAAGCGTTGTAGAAGCCGGCCAGCATTTGTTCCGCCTGCTCGATGCTGGGTGGTGTAAGCAGGATGTAGGGCGTCCCCAGTTGAAGGATAGGGGAATCAACCGCTGACCAAAATCACCCAAACTTGCCCAGAGACGCAGGTGGAATGAGGGGATAGACTCCTTGATTCTGCTGTGCTCCTGTTTCTCTGTTCCCGACCTAAACACACACCCCCTGTTTCTCGCAGGCGTATCCTCGCATGCGTGTGTGGAGAGTCTGTGGGTGCAGTTGGTATCCTGCTGATGGACTCGACCGAAAGCTTGCTTTTGAGTGACTGGGAAGTATCTGGGAGGCGATTCTGGGCCGCCTTCAAAAGCAAAGCCCCTCGTCCACTTCTGGATAGCCTGGCAAGCCCCTGGAATCAACCCAGCCCCCACGTCAGAGCCTGACAAGCTGCACGTTGGGTATCTACACTCCAAAAACAGTAATAGAAATGGGCCTCATTCCCCTGAACCTGAGGGAGCCCCAATACGGCAGCGTTGGGTAGGACCGCTCGGGAGAGGCTGCTATAATCTCAGAACCAAAGCAGGCTGCCTAAAAGGAGAAGGACTAAGATGGCGATCTGTACTTCTAACGCACGGACACTTGCATCGGAATCGTGTATAGAAGACCTGATGATGCAAGCTAGAAAAATCAGGTACAACGTCATCGGACCGACCGAGATGAGAAGGCATCGCCCGCTGCACGCTGTATTTGAGACTGGGGAAGAACTGTTCTTTGGAACATGCAACGCAGAGACGTCGGCGGCGTAGGTGTCCTCGTCAATACGCACTTGGCCATGAACATCGATTCATACGGAAGCTTAACAACATGATTCGGACGTTTGCGATTAAAAAGATGTGGATCAGCTCCTCAGCTCTATCCATCTTCGTTGCTTACGCACCAACATCAAGCTACTATGAAAAGGAGTTGGAGGCGTTTCTTATGGATATGTAGAGACTCTGCAGAGAAGACCACACTTTCTTCAAGGTCACCGTTGGTGATTGTAACGCCAAGACTGGCCCTAGAGCGACGGCTGAGGAGCTTCACATCGGGACTCACGGAATAGAATGGAATGAGCAGGGTGGAAGGTTGTCCGAGATTATCACGTCGATCCACACCATCCACGACAACTCACAGTTCCAGAAGCCCTCTCATTTGAGATGGACATGGGAGGCACCTGAACAATTCCATATTGAAATAGACCACATCATCTTCAATAGGAGATTTTGCCTGCTGACGTCGCTGTTGTTCCGAAGTTTTATACGGGATCGGACCATCGTGCGTGTGCGTGCGTGGAGAGATGAGTGGAGAGAACGAGAGCCATGAAGTTTAGGAAACGAAGCCTCAAAACCTCCATCAACTGGGACCACTCGCTTCCATTGCGAGTAAATGGGAAGATTCCGTTGTCGACAACATCGACGAAGAATACAACCGGCTCGTCGAACATCTTCACGGTAACGCTAGGCTATCGTGAAGATATTCGACTACAGGTTGTATTCTTCGCAGAGAGTCTACAAGTAGTCAAGAGACGACCCTCTTCGAAGACTATCGAGCTGATACGCCTGCGTGGGATCGCGCGAGCTACAGGCAATAATCAACAAACGTCCGAACTTGCGACTCCGAAAGATAGGATCGAGACTGAACTTAACGAAGACGATGTTCAGGAAAAACGGATTGGTACCTGACGCTCCCTTCACGCTGAACGGAAAGAATATCTCTGAATGCTCTAGCTATGTGTATTTAGGTCGGGAAGTCAACATAGTGAAAGACCTAGCTCCGGTGCTGTGCAGAAGGAAACGCGCCGCGTGGGGAGCATCTGAGAATATCGAGGGAGTAGTGAAGAAGACAAAGAATATCTGGCTCCGCGCTCACCTTTTCGACACTGCTGTTCTTCCTGCTTCGACGTACGCCTCAGAGACTTGGATTATACGAAGGCAGGATGAGCATGCTGTCAGCGTTGCTCAACGCGCTTTGGAAAGGACGATGCTCGGAATTTCCCTGTGCACGCAAGTGTAAAAGGGAATCTGGAGTGCGAAGATCAGGGATCTTCGCTCGTTGACGGAGCTGATCTTCGATTCCTTGACTACGCCAAGGAATTGAAGATCAGGTGGGCCGGACACGACATGCGATATAGTGATGACCGTTGGGCCAGGGGTTACTGACTGGATCCCTCAGGAGATCAGAGGAACTCCAGGACGGCCGCCAACGAGATGGTCAGACTTCTTCACGAAAGCTCTGAACGAAAGGGATGTTGAACCTCGTGTCCCTGGAGCGATTCATTGAACAACTCTGGCTCGTGACAGGGACTAATGGAGACGTTACTGGCGCTCGCTCGAAGAAATCGATGATCAACGGGACGACAGGTGATACGGGTGATATGAAGCAGTAATTTGATAGATAGGTTAAAGGAGTAGAGAAGTACTGCGGGGAGAAGTGAAAAATGTGAAGCGGATATTTCAAAATTGTCAATTCGATCTGCATCGGCATCGTTCAATGTATGCCTATACAATATGGTGAGTCAATTGAATATTCATTTCGCACCCCTTTAGCTTTTCGCACGAGGTAATCACCCCCACCCCTGCGCTCCCTCCTCGTCAGGCTTAGAAAAATCCATATTCTTCTGCTTAGAACCACTCGGAACACAGTTAAGGTTGGTTACCCCTCCTTCTCTGCACTCAAGTCCTCATTTTTGAAATTGGCCTCAGATAGGTGAGCATGGGTCTTTTCGAATTTTGCAGGTAGTAATTTACATACCTTCGTTCCATTGTAGGTGGAGCACTTCCTGTTCGCCGTTTGTGTCAACAACATAAAACCAACTATTGCATATAAAAAGCAGGACACTGAAGAAAACTTAACACTGCCTCAGTTACTGTATAGCTCACGACCTTCAAAAGTTGTTAGGCGAAGGTGATAAACAAGGTCGAGTAATTTCTACTCCTTATTGCACAGGTAACCTACTGCCAGTTGTGACGCAATCACACCCGATGAATGTAGTTGATAGAATGAACCTTCACCCACTATTTACAACTTCTTTGAAGGTTACTGCTCTTCTGAATCGTATATCATTTACTTATCACATTATTGTGGTAAACAATTCCCCTCGCAGGCTTTGCGAACTATCTGTCTTGATAATATCCACAGTGACAGAATCCAAACAGGCTGCACCTCCCACAAGTGAAGGCATGAGAAATCCTTCGGTTCTGATTTTTGTACTGCCTGCTTATTAATTACCAAGAGTCAAGAGTTTTGTAGTCATCAACCTAATAATCAAGATCCATGTTTCACCCAATTTTGGCCCTACTTGTGCAAATGTGACGTAGGAAATGCCTACAAAAGCGGAACACATCCATATGGTGGTTCACTGCACGGATGTTCGCGCGCATGGAATACCCTAGGTATTTACCGATTTCACATAATCCTTCTATTTTCTAATAACCTATGTAGAATATCTCTCTCAGTGTGATAACCCTCCCTCGCTATTCGAGTGTTCGTTTGAAACTCACCACGTTTTGTGTCGTACACTACGAAAAGTTTTATTTTTGTACCTTGCAAATGGACCTGTTATAGTATGGCAGCATCGACTTCGCATTCATTCACTCAAATTTATGCGTATCTCCGCAACGTATCTCTCTACCACTCTGGAGTCTTTATATTTTCCGAGCGCTTCTTCGACTGTATCTGCTTGCAGAAAAATATAAATTGCATATGTGTGTGTTCTACGACTTCCCAAACCACTTCATATGTGTCCTACGATTTCCCGAACCACTTCCATATTTATATTTTTGAATATATAAAGGTTACTGCACTAAGAAGGCTAGGCCGAAAGGTAAGCGGGTGAAGTGCTACTCCGAAATACTGCCTCCAGTCGATGACTGATTTGGCGTTTTCGAACCATAGGAATCTGCAGCGACCTTTGAGTTCTACTTCGGTCTTACTTGAGTGAGACTGCTTGGGTCTCATCTAGTACTTAATATTTTTCCGGTCCGGTGTGCAATTAGAATATCGCGAGATTCGTTATTTGCGGCATCGTTTGGAAGATTCATCGAATACTGTTTGAAGCTGCTTTGACTTGCCTGGGCACCAGACTCCTGACTGAGATGTGCAGAAGTGGCCCACACTACCAGGATTCTTTAAACGAGCCTTGGTGGAAGCGACCTCTCGAGGTAGTTGCAGTGGCTCATACTGTACTCATACTTATTCTTTCGTAGGTGTTTCCACAATGAAATGAGTGATCAAAATGTGACTGCCTTGGTATCGGAGTAATCGACTACATTGCCATTTTGTTTCAAAGGTACAATGACTGTACCTTTTCAGGTATTTATCATATTTGAAAGCATTTCATAGGGTGGAGTGTTTTTTTCTTTGCCAACTTGTCCGATGAGATTGCTAGATCTTGGAACTTAATCAGTTTGTCGAGGTGTTGCACTTCAGCAGATTATTGTTGGTCAGTTATTGCATTGCAAGCTGGTTCTCTTGGGCCTTTTTTTTGGAAAAGACACCACGATCATGAATGCTCCGATTAAAAATTTGATGCAATTTGCTAGATAATCTTTGTAAGAGGTTGCAGTTTGGAAGGGTCAGTCTGTAATAGTGGTGCAGTCTGGCAAGAGTGTGGAAATTTTAATGCTCTATAAGCCTCTCATTGCGAGCACAGAGTTTTTACTCCAGAGGTGATAGATAGTTTGATAGATAAGATAGTCCTCCCTTCACAAAAGAGTGATGAAAATCTTTTGAGGTCGTTAGTTCTGTTTGAACCTTTGTGTCTTTGCATGCCGTAGGCTGTTCCTACCTAAAGTCCGTTAGGAATCCTTCGTTTGCCCGTTGATTCTGGCTGTAGTGCATATTGGAATTGACTATTTCAGAACTCTTGATCTTGCGCCTTATTCCTTGAGGAGTGTTCTCTGGGCATTCTAGAACCAGAGAAGAGCAGTACTTTTTCAAATTGACTGTTTCTACAAATCACTACGCTAACTTCTGCTGTCATAATTGCGAGCTATTTTTTGAATTTTGTAGCGTAGTTATTCATTTTGCCGTAACCAATGTGGGCCTTACCGGCAGTTGTTTTGCTTTACCTTTTGTTTTGTTTACTGTTGCCAGCATCATTTCTACTATTGCCGTTCCGCAGATGCCCTTCGCCTCTATTACGCGTTGCGTTTATCGATTTTAGTGGAGTAGTACTTTTGGGTTAGAAACTCGGTTTTTCTTGTTGAGTTTGTTCTTTGCGACACCTCTCTGAATTGAATCGATGGCGAAGCCTACACTGAAGTCGTGCGTTGTCTTGCAACTCTATCATTTTACTGTTAAACATTCGCTGTTTCGTGGTGGCCTGCAGAATTCTTCCAATAAAAACACTTTCTTTCAGAACATCTTCACTTTCGCTAGATTACGCTTTACGGCACTACACTTGTTTGATGGGTGGTCAGTGCTCTTGAAAAATACGCACACTTTCAGATTCCTGTCAAATTGTTCCCTGTGGGGTGTGACCATCCTTTCCGAGTAGACGTTTCAGGAAAGTTAGGTAATATTGGATTTACGTAATGCTTTGCGTCTACCACTTTTACTGGGTTATCCACTATGTCTTCTGCTTTGCTACTTCTTTGCCGTCTCGAACTGCGATCAAGACTTTGTTAACTACGCTATGAACTCAGAAATTTCTGGCGGACCTTCTCTGTTGATAGCATGTTCTGCGCTGTACGAATGTCTGACCTGCAGATACCATTTGGTTTTTCAACATTCAGTTTTTGTCGGGGACTGACACTGACCTTTTAAGAATTTCAATACTTATGGGTTTATTGTCATACTTCTTCTTTAGAGCTACAACCATTTATATTCGATTTTTTGTAACTAGCTTTCCCGTGATGGCTGCTTTTACCGCGCTCAATACTTTGTTCACATGCACAATGAAAACAGCTCAGAATGATTGAAGCTTTTCTTCCTCGTAGCATTTCGGCATATAGCCGTTGCAGATTTCTTCTCTGTCGTTCGGGATAACACAAGGTCAATCTTGTGATTTCAAACGGAATTGTTGGAGTCCTTTGTGGACTCCTCTCTGGATACTTTTTCTAACGAGTTCTTTTGCGTTTGTATCTCCGTGTTTTTCGATTTTAGCCCTTGGTCTGACTACAATTCTATTCCCAGGTCAGTTGCCCAGATTTGTTGGCTTGTCAGGAACAACAAGTGATCCTCTTGATTTTAAGCGAAGGAAGATTGACATCATATCCTTGTTGCAAAAAATTTTGACGGGCGGTTGGGCCTTTTGCAAAATCCAGTACAGTTGCGACCTTTTTCTCAGCTCGTGTTCCACTAAATTAAGCAGGCTAACCAGAAAATACTCTGGCCCAAAGAGTTGCAACACATAGAGGAAATTTCGTCTTGATTCTGCAGTTGTGAGCTTGGCACTTGAGCTTGTGAGCTTGGCATGCAGTTGAGATGGTCAGGTGCGCTTCTTTTTCTACTCTCATTTTTGTTTTGTACTTCTTCAATAGACGTATTAAATTCAGTTCGAAGTAATTTTGTTTGTTTTATTTGTTGTCCTGGAGACCAAATTTGTCTATTTCTGGGTCATTCAATTTTTTTTGTTCAAATTTCTTTCATGTACTCCTTGTGCATGCAATAAATAATGATACTTTTATCAGGTCGATACTCAGCTCTAGAGGTTTCATGTGGAATTCGTTACTGTCCTCTGCTTGCCGTATTTCCAGCACGCAGATTATTGTCTTGGCACTTGCCATCCTACTTTATAAATTCGCTAAGTGTGTCTGTTGGTGTGTCGGTGTGTTTGTGTGTGTGTGTTTGTGTGTGTGTTTGACCGGAAATTCATAACTCATGTCCCCGTGAACGTAGAGCGTTCATATTTGGTAGGAGTAAGGGGGACAGGATGGGAACACCTTTGGTAAGTGGCAGGACCGTAATCCGTGCACAGGAGGTGGGGTTTTGCGCCGCAATAGTCAATTTGGCCCTAGGGCATTCAAACTTGGCAGGAATACAGACGGCAGGATGGGAACGTTTATCGTAGGTGGGAGGACCGGACCCCGCTTATAGAAAGCGGAGTTTGCGTCACTTCTAGGGCGTTTCGAAATCCATAACTTCTGATCCCGTGGACTTGGAGAGCAATCAATAGGAGGGGGCAAGATGGGAACACTGACAATAGAAGATGCCTCAGAGAAGAAGATCCACACACCAATTACCTCCTAGCGCCTTTGTTATTTACGATCTAGCTTTGACTTTTTGATATGTTTCATTCGACAAAAAGGTTAAGTTGTGTGATCATAAGGAAATGAATTTGGTTCACTCCTTGCTATCAGGTTACGACCGCTACTCAGCAGAGTTTGCTATTAAGTAAAAGATCACGGTTTCTCTTTGCTTTGACATCATTCTTAGCAAAATTTATCCGACCGGTAATAATGTTGGATTCACATTTAATGATGTATCCGTAGAGAAAAGGAGGTACATCTTTGAAGGCATTTGATAGTCTATACTCTCGCTCAGCGAAAAAGCGAAATAACATATTGAAAAGGGGGAATTTCATTAATTCGATACTTTTCGGGCAAAGTCCCTTTGCCCCACGAAGGAGGAGAGCGCTTGATGATGGCGTTGAGGAACATTGTTGTTAGCTCACATAGTAGCCTCAGCCGCGATGAAGTCTCTGAATATTTTTTTCTCTGAATAATCGCCTTTGTGATTTTAAACGATGTTCTTTCGGACACAGCGAGGTTGGCTTACAGAAAAAATCGCTCCCACTTCGGAGATAATACTGAGGGTATAGAGCTTTGAAAGCAAAAGGAGAATCCGAAGTGTTATTTACTCATAGCAAATTCCTCACAGGAAGAAAGAGCGCCCGACGTAGCCGGGCGAACCCATAAGAAGGAGGGAAGCCCGGCGTCAACCGGGCGGTCCGACTGGTTTTTTCTTAATCTGGTAATCCGATTACACTGCTTCTATTTCTTCTATTTGATTATTCAGATCTTTTTTAGTTACTCATAGTTTTTTCATGGAACAATTGTTTTGATTTTTCGACGAGTAGTTGCAGGCGTATCTGGCATCTCGTACTGCATGTGGTCGTCACCGTCAGGACCTATTTCCTCTGCATATTTGATCAACTTTGCATCACGAATTGTATTTGTTGGTACGAGTAGGAGTGTTTTGCGCTGAATCCACTTTGTTGCACTTAAAAAACGGGAACTATTTTCTTATTTTCTTTCTCTGTCCTGATTTTTTCACTGATTTGATCGTACTCTCTGCAACATATTTTGGAGCAATTTAGAACCACTTCCTCTGATCAATGGCTCTTTTTCAAAATCTATTTTTTTTGGACTGAACCGACGAAACGGGAAATATTGGCTGTTTTCGCCTAGCCAACGCACCGAAATTTCTGCTCGTTTGGGCTTCCGTGTAGAATCGGCGCTACACTGGCACACCTAGGCTTTTTTGGAAGCTTTATTTTGTCGATAGAGCTGCACTCCCGGAACTTGAGGTGTCGTATTGGCTGCACGGTTTTTTATAGAATACGCTTTGTACAAATACTTTCGAGCATCAAATGTAATTCGGTCGACTTAGCTGCTGCGCGGTTAACATGGAATCCCAACCTTTCCAATATGCTCATTGCTAAAGATAATAAATAGATAAGTCGTTACTCGCGGAAAATCTTGAATGGGAGCCCATTCTGCCGTGAATATCAAAGCGCATTTACAGATGTTCTCATTTCTTGTTGGACAGAACTTTGTGTTATGAACAAAAAAAAACTTTCGCTTATAGACATATCTCTCCCCATCATTCCAATGTTCTTCAATTTCAAGAGCTCATATCGCCCCAACATGCGAAAGACAGATCTTTCCCTTCCACAGTGACCACGGCAGAGCCCAGCCCACACAATTAATTTGAAGGAGCAGGAGATGGAGGGTGTGGCCGGATCGTACATACATTCGTTTTATGATTCACTTGTTTTCAAAATTTCTGAAATAATTGGTCGTTTGAAAAATCACAAGACTCATGTTTGATCTGAAATTTTAGGACGAGCCAAGACAAAACTGTTTCAAGCATGTTTGGATTCTTCACCAAAGAGCAAGATATAGCAGATGCGACAATGACCACTAGAAAATTTTCGAGTTCTGAAGGTTCCGATTGACAAGAAAGAGCTCTGCACTAGGTCCTCAGTAAGACATCCCTCATCTGGGAGTGCGGTGTGACCTTCGTCCATATACTGTTTCTTGTTTTTGTACAGAGAGATGGAGAAACGGTTAAAAAAAGGTTGAGGAAGTCTAACAGATTTGAAAAAAGTTGACAACGTTGACAACGACAACGTAGACTTGAAGAAAAGTTTTATTCGCTTTTAATTTCAATCAGGGAATGATTTGTACTTGTATGCAAAATATTTCTCGGAAGTGTCCTTATTCATAGTCCTAAAAACTGGAATATACGACTCTCCCATTAGCATTGAGTCGCAATCTATTAGCAATATATTGAAGGAGCCGAAAAAGCAGCTTTCGAGAGTGAATAGAAGCCTACCTCTCTTTGAGTTTGACTTCTTGTAGACATCAAGGACACACTCTCGTCGGTGTCACGGAAAGCAAGATAACTTGCAGCTAGTAATGCAACAGTCAGAAGGAGAAATGCAGCGCCAGAAATCATTATTACTGTCGTGAGTATTCTGGAACCAGCAAAATTGTAGAGCACAACAGCTTAGTATTATTTCTAATTTAAATAAATGTTGCAGGCCATTAAATCAACAGTATGGGCTCCTTCTGTGGTGAGCCACACTCATAATCATGCATAGCAGGCATACATGCAGACACGTTAGCCTCAGAACCTTGCACCCCTCATATGGAAAGCCGCGTTTTACACTGAACACTCCATGACTGAAACAGCCAGTAATGCCTCATTAATTTGGAACATGGACCTTCTGCAGTCACATTCTGAACCTTGGCGTGGCGATTCTCGTTTCAAGAGAAAAGAGTTACGTGGGCGATTACTTGTCAGAAGACTCAGCAAACAGTTGCCATTTGCTGTATTCTCTTCCTATCAAGTGTTGAGCTCGATTCCACCGTGCAACACTCGTTTTAGATAGTCAAGGGAAGATAATTCGAGCTCATGCCAATACGATTTGTTTCGGATTACTCCCTAGTACATCGACTTGACTCAACGACGCCGTCGTCAGCCCTCTCGCGACGCTGCTCAGCCGCTGCTGAATCGCCGTTGAGGGCGCTGCACACATAGCATTTCTTCTGTTTCTGGTTTACATCACTCAGCGGCCATCACCGACCGTCTTCGAGAGTCAGAACGATCAAGAAGCAAAGATCGTTAAGTCCATGAAACGTCCGGCATAGATGCCGGAGGCATCTGTGAGTGCTCTTGGTCATGATCACTAGTGAACACACAAGTACCTTCCATGCTCGATTTGTACACGGACGAGATTCCGAAGCACTGGAACTTTATAAGTTCTCCAGCTAAAGTATAAAATGAACAAACTTATGAGTCTCCACAAAAGCTGGTATCGTCCAGAGCCAGTATATAAGCCCATTTTTTGGGGCATCAAACCGCCAATTTCAGTAAAATATTCACTTTGACAGTTCCACAGCTCTGCAATGTCCAGCGTCCCAGATTGCAGTTCTCCAACCTTTGCATCCTCAGCTCTCCAATGACTCAATGTCCAAGAAGGACATCATAACAAAGAACGAGAGCTGAACGATACAACCTTCTCGCCGGAGGAAACAAGGCGCAACGATTGGCCGGCTGTCGGGCTCACCACCCGTCAAGCTCGTAAGCAAAACAATCGAGGTTGCACAGAAACCTAGACTAGTTTCTCTGAGATCTATGATATATTAACACTACAAATATTTCAGTGTAGATCTACTTTCGAGCATCCTACCAACGAACCGTCGAACCCAAGGAACTTGTAGCCTTGGAAGCCTACAGTTTAACATAAACCATGGATCGGGCTTCGATCGTGAATTTTGGAAAGCAGTGTTATAGTCATAGATTTTCGGCCTTAATCTGTATTGAGGCTGAAATCCTATGATTATGACAAAAGTAAAATCTAGAGGAAGCGACCGCCAGAGACACGGCTTTCTGAATATAATAGAATCGTACAAGTGGCGCATGCGAAATGCTCTACCACATCTAATATGCATAATTATTCTATTATTATATGCTTTGATAAAATATATCGAGAGTCTATGCCTTTACCGTCGAACCAGGTAAAATCTCAATAGCAGCTCACGTTTTTTTCAAGGTGCAAGGTTGCGAATGCGAATCTTCTTTAGCATTCCAATTCTAAATCGGCCAAACAATATATATAGATATACTCGCGATTGGTCACAAAGCGTAGCTCACCTTCTTTCCCCGTACATTCGCGAAGGCTGCAAACTTCTATAATTGTGAATTATAAACATGAAGCTGCACTTTTCTGTGTTTTCAGTACAATGGGTGTTCGGAATGGCTGAGAGGAGCTCCCGGGTTCCACATTTTGCCACCCCCACTTGGAGATTGATTAGACAGATTTTTTCACTATAGAAAGCGGTTGATGTGCGTTCAATAAGACAACAGACAGCTGATGAACACGGACTGATGGTTGTTCATTTAGACCCCAGAACCAGCCTAGTGAGGTGCCACTATAAGTGATGGCGTTATTTTATAAGGAGGAATGTGAGGTAGATACAAGATAGAAGCATAAGCAGTAGAAGACAATCACCTCTGCTACCGTGAAAATAGGTTTATACAACCAGTTACACTTTTTTCCTATGTTTCATTATGAATTTTAGCATTTTACCCATGCATTCAATATGGATTAGACTTTATGAGATAAGGCATTCACGTAGAGCCATTATGGTCATGGTTGACGTCCTTATGAAAGTTCAACTTTCATTTACCTTTGGGTATTCATTGGCTACTTCAGCAGTGAAGTTCCTGGAAAAAGAGCAAGCTTGAAAACTCTGAGTGGGAAGGAAATTTGCAAGTTATTGCATTGTATCGAGCCAGGAAGGAAAATTAAAAGCAGTGAAATGAATCGTCACGATCATGCTTTTTGGAAACCACGAGAAAACAACACTGCAGAAAGATGATGCGAACCTTCCACCTTCTCTTCATTCGTTCGCCTCACATTGTACTCCCCCGTAAGGTAATACTGCAACACGCTCATCTCAAAGGAGTAACACTGCAGCAGGCTTATCACGAAAGTTTTTGCTTTTATTTAAATCTTCAAACTGATTGGGGTAAATCAAAACATTAGGGCTGTTAGCCTTGTAGAGATAGTAGGGTTGAGCCTGTCTCCAATCCGAAACAATTCGCTGTATTTGGTGCCACATTTTTTGGCCTTGTGGACCGTACCGTTCAAAGTATTAGGACATGGAGGGACTGTACATATCACGGTAACGGGTCATCTCAACTTCTGAAGCATGGACTGTACATTGATCCTGCCTAATACGGTCTTCATCTCAAGACTTCAAGACGAGTGTTAGCAGATTTAGTAACTTGCTTTATAGGCTTGAATCTAGTTGAAGCATCGGTTGGATCAATCGGTTCGAAGTGGATATGCTCAATATGTAGATTCCGCACAAATCTGGGCTCACCCGGACATATATTAACTTTATAACTATGGTTAACTGAAACAATCGAATATAAAACTGACCTCTCACCCTCTTTTGTTTTACGGAAACGTTCGATCGGTAGAAAGGGCCCTGAATAATGCGTATCGTAGACCTTATGAACAAAAGTGCGACCATAAAAGTGATTGATAATCACTCCGCTCCCATGTCAACGTTTAGTCGGTTATGATCAAGGTATTGTCTAGTTCACCCGCAAATGGAGGTAGAAATTCTGTCACCCGACCATCCCACGATTTCGCTTGCGTGTCTCAACAAAAATGGTTTTTAGTCCGCAGTGGATGCTCCTAAAATCGGAATTTCCTATCACATATGCCATCCTACTGAGCACACTCCTAGCGGTCTTTGCTGGCATGCTCATAAGGTTGAACCTGACAAGATAGGTTGATTGAGTAGAGATCAAGAGCTGTCATTAATATTTATGAGCTGGGCAACGGTCGCATACATGACAGCATCCTCAGGCAGATTCCAAAGCTGATAATTCTTTTCTTAACCACTGAAGCAACGGTCAGACGGGGGTGACCACAATTAAGGAACTCCTTCCTCAGGAAGCACCGACCACTTGCTCAACCTGCCGTTGAAATACACAATTCAGGCAAATTATGCTTGTTGATGCAATGGTAAGGTCCCCTCTGTAACATGTTCAGGCATATACTCAAACTGAGCTACGATATTGATACCACATTTAACCAATTCCGAATTCATCTACATTCGTATCATGAGGAGGAAGGTGAAGGCGAAGGCGTAGCTTGTTACTCGAGCATTCAGCATTATGGGTTGGACAAGCAAATTGTCGAAATAGGAGCAGTTTAGGTCCTGAAGCGGATGCCCGACTTTACCTGAAACTGTGGGTGTCGTGACTTCCGTAGATCTCTTCTGCGCAACGTCTTCTGTTGCGGCCGTCGCACTACATCACACGTGCAGAGTAACTCCAACGCTTATTGGACGGTCGTCAGAGTTCCGCTCTGGGTCCTACCGTGCAACAGCACTGCAACCTTTGACTGCATATAAGCGGGCAGGAAAAGTTGGCTTGAAAAAGGAAGGCAGTCTCCGACAGTCTCGACTAATACCACGCACGTTCCGGCTAGAGCTCTGCATGGTTCCATGTCTCATCTTCGATACTCCCTCGCTAACCTCACATTATTCGTCCGCAGCTCGTAGCCAGTCAGTTATTCGTATTAACTTCTCTACGGAACTGTACGAAACGGAACACGCACAACATCCATCAAAGACCGGAAAGCTGATGGGGATTGTGATATCTCTGTTCTCCTTCTGCGCAGCTGTCCATTCCCCAGACAGCCCTTGGTGCTCAGCCCGTGGAAGGTGAAACCCCGATCGTCGTGTGGATGAGTGGAGTGAGAACTACTGCTCCGCTGCGAGTGGAGACCGGATGTGCTCAACGCCCCCCGGCTAACACCACCCACTACGCACGAGCAGTGAGGGTTGACGCGCATTGGCGACCCCTAGTGAGATAAGGTCCTGCCCCGTAGGGTTTCAGCTGAGCTTCTCGTTTCGTTTTGTAATAGCATAAAGCCACTTATTTCTTCCATGTTTTGTTATGTAGCAAGAGGAGTATATCTTTATCAATCATCATAACTTCTTTACTTCATCATGCGCATAGTACATCTCACAGATATAACATCCATGATAGCAAGATTGCCAGCAGCAATCTCTGTTAACAATCTCTGAGCGCAGTATTTTGAGGGGATAGCGCAGGGTCGTATTTAAAGGCACTGTTTACGAAAAAGTGGTTTCGGAGATTTGCACATGGTTTGAATTCGAAGCCCCCTCTGAAACCATTTGTGCAGGAATGAGGTCGGAAAACGGCTGGATAGGGCACAATAAGGGGCCGGAGAGGTATCCACGGTCGCCCTCCGCCCCTTGATCGGTGTCACGTTAGACGAGTGTCGAGACGACACAGTGTCATGTAATCGCGCCAGGACCCACCCTGAATTGCAAATTGGCAAATTGCCAGGGACGCAATGTGTTGCATGCTATTGCAGACAACACATTGCGTCACTGGCAAGTTGCCAATTTGCCGTCCCTGGCAATTTGCCAACTTGCCCGAACACTCTCTAACCGACGTTCTTTCACTGTGAAACTCGTCCAACCCCCTTTTCAGCTCTTTTTTTGGCCCTTTTTAATTCTTTTTGTTCGTCGTTTTTTGCGCTTTTTTCGTTGTTATCGCTTTATTCTAGAGTAGTTCTATCAATTCCCGTTAGAAAAGGGTACCCTAACTTT